CATAATCTGTAGTTATTAAGCTTCCAGTAAATATACGGTTTATATGGGTTTTTGTTAAAGCCACGAACGCTAGAGCGGACCGCGCGCGGATGGTCAAATGGGTTATACTGATACCTTAACAAGAGCTAAAATTGCAAGGGACGCGAAAATTAAGACAAACCACACATAAAGCACACCAGTATTGACAGATTTAATGTCCACTTAATTTTCAAAAATACAGCTTTATTTCTTACTTTGTTAACTGAAAAAAATTATCTCCATATCTACAACTAAGTGGAAAACCAACTGATCAACATGTCAGGAAAAACGTGTCCCCAATTGGATGACTTTGTTTTCGTTTTTTAAACAAGAACCAAAGCGAACCGTTTTTAGTTTGCAAACACTATGCTAAATACCCTACAAGACTAATAGCATTAGACTTCTAAGAACTCTCTACGCCGATCGGAAATTTCATTTTACACTATCGTTGCTGTCAAGTAAACTGGTTCATGAGAAGAAAGAAAATCATCAACTACAAGATATTTTCTCATTTTTTCTCAGGACTGGTCGAGTGGACCAACGCGTGCGAAAATCACCTCGCACGAGAAGACGCGACGCGCGAGGAGGCGATATTCACGCGCGTTCGTGATCTCGTCCACTCGACTTACCGCATAGCCGTAGTGTTTTTCGCCATGAGAATTTTGATATCAATAACTTGATAGAGTCAAAAAGGCGTAAAGGAACACTTCATCAAGAAAAAGCCTCCTTTATAGATACCTTGGCCAAAATCTATTAGCTTTCTGCGCAGAACGTTATGGCTTGTCACGCACTTCTTGTGGGGAGACAAGACTGCGTAACGATCTCGAAGGTCTCTTAACTACAGAGTTCGTACTACTCACTAATGATGGAATCCCAGAATTTTTCCATGAACCACGTAATAACATTTTAACGACCCAAAACGCAGGGTTTTCATGGGGTAAATATTTTAAAGAAAGTTGCTTTACCAGCAGCTGACCTACGAAGTGCTTGCAAAAAAAAGGGAAAATGACAGCATTTCTTTAATGACTATAAAATTCAAGGAGTTTCCTACGAGTATGTGGAAAAAACAATTTTCAAGGAGTTTTCGAAAGCCCCGAAGAAAAAATTTACAATTCCAGGAGTTTTCCAGGAGTTCCAGGTGCAGCGCGAACTCTGTTATTAGTGTAATAAATTTTTCTCGTTCCTATAAAATACCTTGAACTAAGCCATCCCGGCAGACTGACTTACTAGACGAGCTGTGCTTTTCCACTTTCTCCCTCTCCTTGTCAAAAGGACGAGAAATACTGTAAGAAATATCCCTAGACTTTTGATAACATTTGAATCTGACCACACCAAAAGTTATTTTCTTTAGCAGACACTAAAGTTATTTTTTAGCAGACACATTAACAGACACAGACACCCAGACAGCTATTTCCTAACAATGTGCGCGCGCATCAGGTTTGACTTTACCTTACTTTTTACCCCGAAACGAGAATTTTCTGTTATGTAAGAGTGGAATAGAAAGCGCATGCCCAGTTAAATCATTTCCTTAACATCAGTTGATTTCAGTTTTATCACCCATTCATGGAGGGTACAGCTAGTAAGCAGACCTACGTTACATCTTCAATTCCGAAATCCCCGAGGTGAATGAAACGATGCTTTCCCTTAATAACGTACTGATCGTAAAAGTAACATTGGCCAGCGATAAAACAGTTACGCACTGCACTCTCGTGGTATACCATGACTTGATATCCCCACCCGTTACTTGATCAGTCACGTTGTAGTCTACGCAAAGACTTGCCAGTTTTGCGTGTGCATCTAGCTATTCCTGTCACTGGTAGGATATTTCATAACATACCACTCGAAATTACTCCATATCTAGACGCTATATCCAAAGTAAACACAGGTTCCTTTTAACTTCTCCATTTACATTTTTGTCTGTACTGTGTTGCTCATTCAGCCCCGTTCCTTTGTGTCCTCTACAGCAAACCAAAGCCCTTGGCATGCGTGATGGCTTTCAGAAGCCTTTCTTTCAGCTTTCCCCTGCTCGAGTATTCCGGGAGCAGGAGGACATTAAAACACGTGTGCGCGGTCGGAAGCCTGCAAGGGAAACACGATAGTTACAGCGATTCATTGCAGTGCAGCGTAATCCAACCCAAAGTGGAACCAACTCCCCCCCTGCCCCCAATACAACAAATTTATTTTGTACACACGATTGACTCTTAGAGCTGGACAATTCCGGGACTACCTGGCTGTTCACATCAGACAACTGTTCGCGTTAAAGAGGGTATAGTTAAACCAATAAAACTTGGTCGGGATCAGCCAGTTGATCATGTCCACCTTAGATAGATGACCACGTTACAAGTGCGGGTGAAGGTGTCTGTATTTGACAGAGTTGATTCAGTGAACACTGACTGAACTAATACTAAGTAATGTAGCAAACGCTGATTTACATATAAGGAGCAAATTTACGAAACGAAAAGGGCTGTGTTCGCCTCCGAAAGAGGCGTCTGGGGTTCGAGCTGAAAAAAGCCCAACCTGTTGACCTAACAATATCCAATCAGCAAGCAGAGTGAGCTTTCAAACTGTACTCACGTCAGCTTGACAGAATGAGATGTGTGATACAACAGCCGCGTTACAGTATGTTTCTTAGCAACTTTACGGAAAATAAGAACCGTTAACCACACCAATTCTCCAAGGTATAATTCTATCTTTGTTTCACTCTCTAATGACAATTTGAAAGGGAATGGTAAAATACGCGTTACATGTACATGTCTCACCTGTCTGAATCAGGACCATTCTTGGCAATGATGAGACGAAGCTTTGAGAATCCTCCAACGGGGATTCTATCACTTCCCGTCGTGAACATCAGCAGCTGTTTCTTCTGCTCCAAAGAGAAGCTGTGAACTACTTCCCAAAACCACCTGCAAGCACATCATGCAAGTTAACTATAATCAATAAATAACTTCATCTAGGTGTCAAATGTATTTAGCACTGTTGTGCTAATTGGGAACACTGTAAACAAATAAACAAATATGAAGTTTCGTGAGATTAATTCAAACTATAAAATGATGGTTCTATCTGTCTTCCGATTATACACTGTGTGGCTAGATGTTTTGCAAAAGGCTGTGATGCAACAATACATCAAAAATGATGTCGGAAATAGCCTGACTTGCCACAAGAGCCTTTCTCTGCATCGCGAGATTAGAGCACCTGACCTGTGCGAGGATGGTTCTCGGATCGACCTCACTCAAGGACTCAGATTTCCTTCTCTGTACAACTTTTACAACAAGAACAACGTTCTCGTGAAATATTTACAGAAGTATTTGAGCATTTCACACAAGTCACCAGACTAACAAGGCAAACATTCTAAACTCTTCAAATGTAGTTTCCTTAGCATGTAAAGCAGTATGCCCAGCTAGGGGCAACAAGAGACTGCTGCATGTGTCAGCTCTATTTCACTAGCCTTAGTTGAGTTACTCAGCTTGTAATGGCTTCAAACCCTTAGACATTGTACCTGATCAATGTTGAACCCTCAGTAAGCCCATTGTCATATTCAGTGGACTTCTCTAGAGCATCAAAGTCAAAATCCTGAAGGACAAAAGTATAGCCAATGATTGAAGAGAGAGATTATATACCAGATCCCACTTGTAAACTTTAACCCTCTCCCAGGCTTTCCGATTGGGGAAGAAAACTAATCAGGTCTCCCTAACTTGATTTTTCTTGGGACTCAAACAAAAAACTGTCATTAAACCAGCCAACATCGTTGGATTTAGATGAATTTCCAGTAAACTGTAAGTTATTAAACTGTACTAGTATTTCTCATTTTTAGCTCTTATTAACCGAGCAGGAGGTCTGTATGGGAGAATCTTGACCGAGGTCGGGAGTACAGACCGAACGCAGTGAGGTCTGTACACACGACCGAGGTCAAGATTCTCACATACAGACCGACTAAGTTCGGTTAATAAGATGTTTATTATATGGCAAACAAGAAAAAAATAAATTCGTTTAATGTAACTGGTTTGTACAAGCTGACATTTTCCTTGCGAACGGCGATGAGCTTAAAGTGCCTATGAAGTAAAAAATAATTGCTGCTTATTTGAAAGTCTTTTCAAAGTAAAGAAGAATGGTGTTTTACTTTTTGGAATATCTTTTTTCGTTTTAGAGATATTCACGTTTTTGTATTATAAGTGATGACGTCATAGGTGGTTCCACTAAAACAGTTCAAC